TAATTATGATCCTAAAGCTCAAATATCAATGCTCCACATCATCGTCAATTCTCAGCCGTTGGATAAGTAGATTAGATCGGCTCTAAACCGTTGGATGGAAAACCGCAGCATATGATCAGATTAAACACAACCCAACCCATCTCACACACAGCCACCATGTGAGACCCATGTATAGCTTCGACCACGGGAAGCCCATCTCATTCCATCGCAGCCCAATTTAATAGTGAGGGATATAGGGTTCAGTGGGGTCTCTGTTGGAAATTTGGTCATAATTCGGCATATTTTTATCCAAAATATTAAGAAAATAAACATGGCATTTGCAATTTGAGTATATCTAGTGACAGTGGTGGATGTAAATAACTTGAGCATGCTTAATATAAAATAAGCATCAACATAGATATGAGAACGCAATAACATTGCGCCTGACAGTAACAGGAAACGAAGAATGAACAGTAACAGTAAAGGATTGTGGCAGTATTGTCTCCGTTGGTATTGACGGGAACCTCCTTCTCCTTATCTCTAGTGTTGTTGTTGTCTCCGGTGTTCAACATGTTGATGCAGAGGAAGAACAAGAGCAGGCGAAGACGAACAAGAACGAACAGTAGGAGCAGTCGCGCGCGTAGCGCTCCCCAAAAACTTGATCGCCCGCCTACCCGTGCAGGTTCTCAAGCGGACGGAGTTTTGGAAGCATGTACACCTGTGCATGCAGGTGAACGGAACCGGAGAAGCAGTAGCAGCACAAGAACAAAGGAGTAGGAGGAACCTGAAGTGCAAGAGTCTGCGGGAAGAACTGATGAACTGCCATCCCTCTGCGGAGTTTGTATATGAGCGAGAGTAACGTTCGGATCTGTTTAATTCCGTAACCAACGCGCTCATGTTAACAGTGAAATTTAGTAAGCCCCTAAGAGAATTATCACGTCGCCAATAGCCGGATTCCTGCTATATTCGGTTAAGGAAATTAATATGTTAAAAGGAATCTTATCTACAAGTGATCGAGTTCAAGGAGGATGCGGCATGGCAGTTTATCTATTAATTAGGCAGTATTTGTTAGTTTCGTTTTATCTTTAGGAAAGTGTGTTTAGTGTCCTATAAGGACTTTATGTTCTCATTTTTATCTTTTAGGAAAGTTTATTTCTTATCCTACGAGGACTAGTATCTCCACATGGGTATAAATATGTATATCCGTGGTCATTGTAAAATATATCCACGATCAATACAATTCGGCGCATCGCCACCTTTTACCTTTTCTACCTTTTTATTTATCATCCGGCGGGACTTAGCACCTGACGCGGGGCTGCATCGGCGTTCGATCTCCGGCGAAGGGGTAAGTCCAATGTTCCGTTGGTCCAAGCAATTGTCTCATCTACGTCGGCATCGTTCAGGGCTACATCAGTACATTCGACCTCTTGGATTGCTCCGATTTGGATGATATATGTGTCTGCCTATTTATCATATGTCTTAGTTAATTTAGTCTTAGTATCTCAATTTAGCTCTATCGGTTGTCTCTCGCTTTAGGGTTTCTACCGGTATCGGCTAAATTGTTTTACTAGATTAGATTAGCCAAGGCATCTACCACCCTAAAAATCAGTCAACGGCTTGATTCTCTAGATATTGTGTTTCTTTTTATACTTAGTGCCGCATCAATTAAGTTTGATCTACTAAGTTGTGTTTAGACCATAATCCCTAGCCTGCTTTCTGACAGCCAATAAGGGTTTCATCGGGGTTTCAGCTAATGAGGTATCTAGACGTTGCATTGGCTTACAAGGATTGCATATAAGTTGGATTTAGCCGATGGTAACAAAGATTTCACCGTTTAATCTAATATGTGGATTTTATGACATCGGACCTCCAGCCGATGTATTCTTTAACCTTCAGATCAATACTTGTTCTATCATATCATTGTTAGCCGATTGGTTTCTACTTGATTATATTGCTATTTTATTACATCAGTATCAGCCGAGCGATTGCCTCTATATTGTTATTTACATCATGTCAGAATCTACATTGGATGTATAGCCGATAGCTCAAAACCCTATCGATATCGGCTGGACTACTTCATCGGCTTGTCAGTCGATCGGCTCGATCAGCTCACTGGTCTTGTCAGTTGTAGGATCAAACTGACTGGCACGCCCGCACCTCACCAAGATTTGGACCTGCACTGGAGCTAAGCAGATCTCCCAGGCCAGTGTGTATTTTTCGCATCAACAGCTCGTTAACACGAAATCAATCCACGGCGATCTCTGTGTTTATTGCCGTCCGTTATAAAACGAGCGAGAGATAGATAGATAGATAGATAGATAGATAGATAGATAGAGAGAGAGAGAGCAGCCGCCGCCTGCCTTGCCTCGCCCTCATCGGCTCGGCTCGCGCGCGCATGTGGCTATCCGCTCACCATCTCAACCGGTTAATAGAGATTCTCCACTATCTCCATATTTAAGTTGAAACCTCTTCACTTAGAATTCCAAGATAGTATTATTACCCATAGCACTAATGTGGGCCAATGAAATTTATTAGGATTTGATTGGGCCTAGCCCATTAATGTAACAATCCCCATCAAATTTCATGGCTCACAGGAAATGCTCTTGATTCTGATCCTGTTTGTTATACCAGTGTTTCGGTGGAGACAGTTAAGTTGAACTTCCACCTAGGAGAAATTCTGATCATGTTTGTTATACCAGTGAAGAAGCAGTAGCAGCGCAGGAATAGAGGAGTAGGAGGAACCCGAAGTGAAAGAGTCTACGGGAAGAACTGATGAACTGCCATCCCTCTGCAGAGTTTGTATGCGAGCAAGTGCAAGAGTCTACGGCGGAGTTTGTATGCGTGCAAGTGCAAGAGTCTACGGGAATAACTGATGAACTGCCATCCCTCTGCGGAGTTACAAAACAAGAGAGAGCCGCCGCCTTGCCACGCCAAGTCGGCCCGGCTCGGCGCGCTCGCGCGCGCTTATGGCTGATCGCCCACCATCTCAACCGGTCAACAGAGACTCTCCACTAGCTCCATATTTAAGTTGAGACATCTTCCCTTAGAATTCCAAAATGGTATTAGTACCCATAGCATTTAATATGTGCTAATGGAATTTATTAGGATTATTGGGCCTAGCCCATTAATCTAACAGTCTCCTCCTCCCGAGTCAGAGTGGCAGCGGCGGTTGGTTCTCTCGGTCTCTCCATCGGCGGTAGGCGGGGCCGTAGCGCGCACCACGCGTGGTGCAGCGCTGGCTAAGGGTAGCGCACAACTCGTGGCTAGCTCTGGAGCGCCGCTCATCCGTTCAGGAGACAGCTCGGTTGCGGGAGGGTTTGAGCGCGCGCGCTATGGCGAGCCCTGGAGCGACGCGCCAATGGAGAGACACGTGGATGTTTGTTTCTTTCTCGGCGCAGATCCGTGGAATGCCTAATGTTGAGCCACCTATCAAGCCATCATGCAGTTCATGATGGATTGCAAGTTATGGTCTAGACTCATGACCAGGCCGGTGAGGTACTTTGTATAAAGTTTAATCAGGAATCTAAAGAACTGATTTCCAACAACTAGATCAAAAGACGTTTACACGACGCTATATTCATATTTCTAAAAAACCTTGAGAGTCATGATATATTATGGTCTCCTTTGAAATGCATGAAAATTTATTGCATTTTCATAGGGAATAGTTTAAATCCCTTGCGATGTTCCTCCGCTGCAAAGGTGATCAGGATTAAGCGTTCAATTATGCTATTTCAAGGCATAAGACTTGACTCCGACATAGTTATGTTGTGCCTCCATTCTATTATGGATGACTTTATTCAATTTGGAACCTAATAATGATTGAGTAGTGTTTTGCTGTTAGCCATGGTTCTGTCCAAGCACTTCTGGTTGAGATATCAAAGAGAGAAACGATATGCAAATAATGTGAAAAGTTTTCGATCTACGGATGTTTGCTTAGGGATGTTGCACCATGCGTGTGAAGCACATAAAGCCAAAGGTATTGTTATATTGAGATATATATAAGGTTCTCTCTCTTTTTCTGGTTGACAGTCATTTAATAAATATATTGGTTACAACTTCAATATTGTGTGCATTATATTCCATATCTCTTTATTTCCTTCTCTATAGGTTTTAACCATTACATCTTGCATGGTTGGCTACAATCAATTTTTTATTTAATTTGTGATTTCTCATCATTGAATATGATCGAAGAAATAATTTATAAAAGCTCTTTTACCCCCAAAATGTCACAAATAGAACTTTTATCATGATTGCTTCTTAGTTCTTACAATTTCCGCAACAACGCACGAGGTATCATTTAGTCATCTTGATATTAAGGATCCATAATTTTATTGGGCAGATAGACGAAAACTTTTACTGGCATGTGATACTTAATAAATAATTAGCATGTGATTAATTGAGTATTAATTATGATAAATTTAGAAATAAATTATTTGTAAAGAAACTTTATATATTTTATCAGAAAATACATTGTTTAATGGTACAGAAAATATGATCTACCACTCTAAAAGACTCCAATGGTGGTGGTGGACCACCACTCACTATCACATGGGTCCTTGTTGCAGTGTACCAATCGTATGTTCAAAATTCAAACAACTTTAGAGTGATCAATACCCAATATACTTATGCATAACTTCTAAATTTTACATGATTCTCCAAGATAGCAAGTGACCGTCCCCTCCGTAAGGAATGAGGTCTCTTAAAAAGGTAAATGGGTTATTTTTTAGATAAAATAAAGTTTTCCAACTATAATATCTATATTGATTAGGCACATAGTCGAATTAAAACTGATGTATGTATCAACTAACAACTCTAACATGTCCTAGTCAAAACTCCTACGATTTAGTCTATAAGAAGACACATATATTTTTTCTTATAGCTTTGCTGGGTAAAATTTTGCACTTAGTCAGCATAGATTTTCAAAATATTTCCAAATATCTGAAATTTCCAAATCTCATTGTCCTCACAAAAGAAAAGAAAGAAACAAAGAAAACCAACCAAGCCAAGGATCAGCCACAGAAGTGCAAATTAACAGGCGCGTTGGCGAGAGACCAGACAGAGGCTAGAGGGGATAACGGTCGCCGAACTATCCTCCATCCACGTGGCACTCACCTATTGGTCCACGAATCGGCACCGCTCATCCATTCTCTCTCTCTCACCTCTTCGCTCGCCGCCGGCCACCGTCATGGCCGCCGCCGCCGCAGCAGCAGCAGCAGCCGGAGGCCTCCTGCACCTGGGGGCTTCTCGCGTGCCGTCGCGGCGGCCCTCCGCTGGCGCTGCGCCTCGCCTTCGTGGGGCCTCGTGCGCGCGGGGCCGCCAGCCTCGGCGGCGGGCGCCGCCGCCGCTCGCGGTGGCGGCCGCGGAGGAGGCGTACACGGGCGCCGAAACGGAGCTCCTCGATGCTCTCGCCGGGGTCCAGGGCCGCGGGCGAGGCGTCGCGCCGCGCCAGCTCGAGGCAAGCATGGAGCGCACTAGGTGCTTGTTGAAATGCTTGTGCGGTGTTGCTGACATTTCGAGTTGTTACGTGTGCGCAGGAGGTGGAGAGCGCTGTTCAGGCTCTGGAAGCACTGGGAGGTTTGCCCGATCCGGTGGGTGCACGGTGCCTTTTCTTTTCATTTGTATTGTCTGAATTATACTAGTATTTAACTAGGTAATTGTTGGGTGGCTAGAGAATATAGCAGTAGTTAATATTGAATTAACGATTTTATAAGGCGAAGATTTTAGGTGAGGTGCATGCATCTCAATAGTTAACGATCTGAATTTAATTGAGAAACAAGCTGTTTTGCATCTTGATCAGTGCAAGGTAAGCTTGAGTTTCTTGCTGAAATAAGTTGAAGCTAAACAGAGAACTTCTGGAGTTTGAATCGTAAGATTATATGATAAATATGTTACAAGTGAAGCTTGCCAGTTGCCATTGAAGTGATTCATAGAGCATAGTAGAAAGTACTTTCTGCTGAACGAGCTAGATGGCATCTTGGACTTACGGTCAGAAACTCCATAAATGTGATGATGTTAGGGTGTTACTTTTACTTACTATGGGAAAGTATGTTCTTATCAAAGTTTGATATGATTGGCTTATCTACAAAATTGAACATAGCTAGTGCTCCCATTATCATACATGTATTTGACGTAGCTGGAAAGTTTCTATGCAACAAAGGCTGTCGTCTTATCTTTCATGGTTCATATGCAGACCAACTCAAGTCTAATTGAAGGTAGTTGGCAGCTCATATTTACTACAAGACCAGGGTCGGCATCCCCCATTCAGGTAAAATACCAGCAGTATGCCCCACTGAAAATAATGTTCAGTCTCCCATTTATCTCTATTATTTTTTGGATTTTCAGGCCGACCGCATATAGATAAATGACTGATTTTATTCTTCATTCACATTGCCTGCAGAGAACATTTGTTGGAGTTGACTCTTTCAAGATCTTTCAGGAAGTATACCTTAGAACAGATGATCCCAGGGTGATTAATGTAGTGAAGTTTTCAGAATCAATTGGTGAACTGAAAGTAGAGGTATTGATTAGCCTACAGTAAACTTGCAAGAGATACACTACTAGGAATGATTGAATCAATAGTATGACAAAAAGAGACACATGATTAGCAAACAGAAATTCTGTTGACCACTCCTGTTTGTTAATGTTGTGCCCATGGATTAACCTAGCCAGCACACAGCGCCAGCAACTCATCAGATTGTGCCATGACTGGTCTGGAACAAAGCTATTGGCATGAACCGTGCATGAACAGAGTCCAATTCAATAATAAAGTCCTCTTAGTCTACATTTAGCATGACTCGTGCAGTGCCTCTGGTTGTCTCGTTGGTTGTTCAAGTGTGGATATGTTTGCAGGTAGAGTCTTAGTTGCATTACTTGGGGCTTGTTTGTTTGCTACCTTCAATCTGCCTGAGGATTGTTTTGGTTGGTACCCTGAGATCCTCCCTGACCAGGCAACTTCATCTAACTTCCATGAAGATCCTCCGTTGCATCACCTCCATGGACAAGAAAAACCTCACCCAATTTCAGATTCTCGCAAGAGCACTGCTATCTCACTGGTCTTCTTCGCCAGCACTGACCACACATTGCTACCCTGTCCCGAAGCACCTCCACCTCAGCCATCTTTACTGGGAAGTTCGACAGGTCACACTGATCCCTGTTCACCCTTTCCTTGATACCTGCCAATGAGTTGTCTCTGTCACCAGTGTTCTGTCTCAGCCGCTGCGTGTAACCAGTGAAGTGTCACCATGCACCTCTGGGAGAAGACCATCACACTACAGGATGCCCAACATACTGTTGCATCCTATAGGAATCTGCCTACATTTGCGAAAGGGCATGTAGCCTAATGGTTGCAGTGACCTAAGTAGCACCCCAAGATCCTGGGTTCAAATATCCATAGGAGTGAATTTCAGATTGAGTTGTTTGCGGGGCTAAGTTCCCAATTTAAATGGCTGCATATATCCGGATGGATGTAGAGGCTAGGTAAAATATTACCCTTCTCTAAAAAAAATAAAAAAAAAACATACTGTTGCATTCCTCTTGTTAGGGATACACTTAGATAAATAGAGTGGGTCATCATCAGTAACAAGTTCTTCCAACTAGATATCTATAGCACACTCTCTATTTCTCTAGTGATCCTCTAATTGCCTATTGCTTCCCCATTTTATAGTGTGCCCTCCTCCAGCTCCATTTCTTCTCAAGCCATTTAATTTATCATCTAATAAATAGTAGTTATCTTGTCGGGAACAAAAATCCTGACGACCTTAAGACTGATAGTTCTGGAGGGCTGGGCATTATATTGAAGAACAATATATTGTACATTGCTCCGACTACTTGGTAAAGCCGAAATCAGAAACATCATTGGCATTTTTATCTTTTGGGAGACTTCATTGTTTAATTAATCCATTCCATAGTAAACATGGAATAAGTTGGTAAGAGCAGTCTCTTACACTCCTAAAGAGAGTTGACAGAACAGTGTGCTTATTCTGTATGAAGGGGGATAAATACTTCTACTAGTCAACTAACTTCGATTACTGCTAGTTGCTAAATTTATAGTGCTTTTACAATGTTCTACATGACTTTATGATGAGATTTATTTAAAATATACCAGGCAGAAGCAACTATTGAAGACGGAAAGCGCATTCTTTTTCGTTTTGACCGAGCAGCATTCAACTTCAAGTTTTTGCCATTTAAGGTTCCATACCCAGTGCCATTCAAGCTTCTTGGAGATGAGGCAAAGGGTTGGCTTGACACTACGTACTTGTCTCAAACTGGGAATATACGTATTTCAAGGGGAAACAAGGTACATGCTACATAGTCTTGATGTTATTTTACTGCCTAACTTGCAGTAAGGTTTTCACAACTGAAACCATGCAGCAACGCATTTAAAATTTTGAATTGTATAATTGATTTTCTCTTTTTTTATGAATCTACAGTACAGAAAATTGTAATATCTTTATAGTTTGTAGAAATCTTTGCTTTTTCCCAAACCTGTTTGTACTTCATTAGCTTTTCAAAACAATCTGTAGTGCAGGGAACCACATTTGTTCTCCAGAAAAGTGCAGACCAACGGCAATTGCTGTTGTCAGCTATATCTGCAGGAACAGGAGTAAAAGAGGTATGTTATTATAGCTTGAATTGTCCATTGTGGCAGTACTTTGAGTATTTGACAAAGTGGTATTTACAACATATTTGCTTGCTAAAAAGGCTATAGATGATCTCACTTCAAGCAGACAAGGAATTGAAGCTGATCTGAACACTCTAGCGGGAGAATGGCAGCTATTATGGTCCTCAAAGGTTAGCATTTACATTTTCATAAACAACTCCAAGCAATATTTCATATTTCTAATGTCTATGCATCATTTGGCAATATTGTTTTTGAGCAATGGTTGGTTATATTGTGAAATATTTGACGTGCGAATCAACCACATGGCAGTACTAGATCAGACCTGCGCAACTAACCATGTTTTATGTATATTTGTTCTTCTTTCCCTGTAATTTATCTTGCACAAGTTCTGATGCCAACCACCTGGGCTTTAATCGTTCAGGCAGGCATCTCACAGTTCTATATTTTGTTTAGTATTATTTATATTAGGTTTACTATCAACTGTTTTATATAAAATCTGACTGGGAGAAGTATTTCTCTATGGAAAGGAAATTAGGACTCTTGGCAGCATCAAACAAAACAGATCCTTTTCTGGTTTGTGAAAGGACTTGACAGCTGCTGCAAATGTAATGAGAAATGGTTATTCCTGCATACACCTTCAAGCGTTACTAAAATAGAATACCACAGCGTGCCACGAAGATGAAATTTTTCATCCAATTCCTATAGCAGAAACGAACGGGACCTATAACCAAATTTGTATGCGCAGACTGAAGATGAAAGCTGGTCATTTGTTGCATCTGCTGGTCTGAAGGGTGTCCAGGTTAGTTTCAGAACCACCTCTGAAGGATTTGTCTGAAGACTGAGCAAAAAGATGAAATGTCACTCTGGTTTTTTACTTGCACACGATATGGCTTACAAATGATATGGGCTTTTCAATCAGATCATAAAAGAAGATGGGCAATTGAAGAATTTGGTAAGACCCTTTCCAGGTGTCAGCCTCAATGCAAGTGGCAACATATGGTAAGCTCGAAGAGCTGTATGAATGCTGTACTTCCTGTTTGGGAGAGTTTACAGCTTTGAAGACCTTTTTTTTTTTTTTTTGAGGAAACAAGACCATATATATTAGAACACAGTTTGTTACCACCTACTTATCTACATATAAAAATCCACATTACACTCTTGAAATTGTAAATTTTGATCATATACCCTCTCCTTGGATTGAACTTGAGGATTCACCCTCCTGACCCACATGTGACCTTAAATGACCCCACATGTCATTGGCTCAAGAGGGTAAATCCTCAATTTCCAATCTAAATTTAACTTCCTTGAAATTTCCTATTGGATCTTGATTGTTATCTTTATTACAATACTACTACAACTACCAAATTGACTGTTCATGTGGTGTTTTGTTCAATACCGAGCTTGCGAGCTAAGTATTTTCTTTATTAAACTTGCAGTAAAAATGAGGATGGCAATAACTTTAACTTGTCCATAAATAAAGGAGCTATTCAAGCTGGTGGGTTACAGTTTCCCTTGGATGCTCGAGGAGAATTTGCCATGGAAATATTGTAAGTTTGGGTTCACATTCCAACAACTGAAACAGAATTGATGCTTGTCTGATATTTGTGAAATTTCATGCAGGTATATTGACAATAAGATAAGGATATCTAATATTAACCAACACAAGCTTGTCCATGTACGCATTGCAAATAGAACATAAAACTAAAATGTAGGGATCTATGAAGAAATCGCTTGACTTCATCACTGAGAATCTTTGGAGACTTCATCACTGAGAATCTTTGGATTCAATGATCAGATGATGTACACGTTGTAGTTGACCGCTACCAGTACAATAGTAAGATTCCTGTAATTATAGATTCGCATGAGGTTTGCAGATGCTCAATCCTTTTCTCCAATGATACAACATTACACATGTTTTGGTGATAGACCATGATAATACATATTATAAGAATAAGGTTCTGCATTTCTGATTTTGGAAACCTTTGCTTGCAATTGGCTTGGACGTTCACTCAGTTCTTTATATAAATATCAACTGATTTAATTAAGAATTTGATAAGGGTAGCAGCTGCCTGTGCTCATTAATCAGTCAACAAAAACCATGAGGAAACTGTTGAGAATGCTTATATCGTAACAAGAGATTGTTCAGAACCTACAAGCAAATTAAGTTCATGTGTACACAGGAGTGCATTCAGGCATAAGAAAACGTCCACAGTATACAAATATACAGGTGGATGCGTGACAAGAAAATCGCAGATTCCAGATTGACCAAAAAAGCTTGATTACTTCTGCATCAGCAACAATGATTGTAGTGTACTCAACTAATATTAATATTCCAAATAAACTAACTGAATTGGGTGGTACAAATAGTTTCTTCCTAGCTCTAAAAATACAACAATGACCCTGTGTAAAAAATGTTACATGGTACAGTTTCCTCCATTATTGATCAACTTTTGGTTCTATCGTTTTGTTCAAGAACAAAGCAGTTCTTGGTAGCAAGTTGAGTTTGGAGGCAGATGTTGATCGGCGGGTGACAAAACGTCCAGGGAATTTGCCAGTATAAAGTTAATCTGTGGATGAACGAGACCACAGTAGCAAGGATTTTATCACAATTGTTTATGCAGAGGCCAAACTATCACATAATGTTTGGTATGCTGCACTGCAGTGCTTGAATTTCTCCTCTGCAGTAGCCTGTCCATTTAAGGAAAATCATGAGTTACATAAACAAATAGGTGTAACAGTATAAGTGATTCTGGTAGTTTTAAGATATAAGCTCAAAACATCAAAAAAGACAATATTCCATTGCCAAGAACTGCATCTGTTCGTTCAAACAATAATTTCATACCATGCCTTCTATTGAATCAGATACAGGTACGTTCAGAGAAAGAAAAAAAAAAAGAAAGGAAGATGGTGGAAACTGGTAAACTTGTCTCTGTGTGAGCTAATAACCAATCCTTCATATGAAGGTTGGAGATGCAAATGAAATACTGAAGATATAGGGGATTTTGGTCCGCAATTTCCATTCCAGCAATTTATATAATCATATCCAATTATCTTGTGTGAACTCGAGATACTTGTGGCAAGACTATCTAAACAAGTGTATTATTCACCGAACAGCCTGGCATACAAAAAACATGCAAAGAGAAAAATAGAATAAAGTCAGATGTGACAAGTTCACCTTCGTTGAGCCATTGTGACGATCTGGGTGCCATCTAAGTGCACATGTCCGGTATCTAGTATGAAAACAAACAAAAATAAATAAAGGATAAAATAATCTTGAAAAGGAAAATAAGTGAAATCTACTAAGGTTCATGGCTTCATGGTCTAATATCACAAAAAAACACATAAATCTTGGAAAATGTTGAAAGCTTGAAAGATCTTACGCGCTTTTAACATCTTCGAGTTTCAGTGGACCAGAAGTACTCAATCCAAGTGCCTGCCGTGCCAAAGATACCTCCGTCTGTGCGGGTGTTTCATCCTCATCATCTGTCTCATAACTCCAACGTCTGGAACTTTCTGAATGAGAACGTCTGTGATTTCTCTGACAAAAATCATCAGAATCAAAAGACCAATAAAATGTCTGTTGCCCACGGAAAGCATTGCGAAACACCGTTTCCGGTTCATCTTCATCACTTGTGCAAAACTCAAATCCACCTGTTCTCGAAACAAGAAACAACAAAATTCTATAAGGTTCACCTTATGCATTATGCATGTGTCATATCCAGCTAAAATATTTCTTGTAACTGAAATATTTATAACATAAGCAGACTACATTAAAAATATGTGAATTCTGAAAATAGAAGTGCTAAACAGGACAATAATTTGCTAATAAGATAGAGAAAATGAATGAAGTAATGTACCCCTGCTTCTGAAGTTTCCAAAATAAAAATCATGTGGGCGGAAACCATTATTCTTTGGATTCCTGACCCAACGGTGTCCCCTGAACCAAGAAGGTCCACTTGATTCATCATTTTTGTCATCTTCATCCCGCCAACTCTGAAAATTAATATAAATAAATTTGTGGTCAAGAGCATTCTACATCAGCATTTAATTATGGGAATCAATTGGATTAAAAAACTGTAACCAACATTACAGTAAGAACAAAGTGAAAAGGAAAATTGCATTAAAGGCTGAAGAAAAAGGTCTATTTTACAGCAAAACAAAAGACCAAAGGTAGTGGAGACTTGTACTAAATGGGCTGCCATGACAGCTGAAAATATGTGTTGTCTGTTAATGTGGCAAAAACAACTAGCAGCTATGGATGAGAAATGATGGTTTTATAACAGTTTAATGTAATAAAATGCTTTTGTAGTTCAGACTTTGCAATAGTTAAATGTTGTAAGGTAGACTTTTCCAAAGCTGAAATGGTGCGACTTATGGTGACAGAACCACAGAAAAATACAAGTAACCAATTCAGTTCTTATAATCCTTAATTCCTTCCAAAATGCCAAGGGAAGAAAAACAGAAGTTCTATACCATTATCTGATTTTTTTTTTCAATCCTGCGTGCCACGACTGTGTTTTTAATGGCACCAATCCTAGAGTTGCGACAGTCTTGCAAGTGATAGAAAATTAGGGTAATCTTTGGTGTATTGCAGGAGCTTTTTCCCTTCAAAAGCTCCTTAGTGGGACGGCAAACCTGGGCAGCTAAGCTCTCCGGGTGGTCTTGGGTGTGTGGGTCTCGGTAGGAGGGCTCGGGTCCTCCTACTTTGTAAATATCTTTGTTTTTGTTTTTTCTTCCCCTTAATGAAATGAAATGCAGCTCTCCTGCATTTTCGAGAAAAAAAAATCCTGCGTGCCACATAAAGCTTAGTCTAAACTGTAGAGTGTTAACATAAAAACCTTATCCACTGTAATCTTCTTCATAACATCCAAACAATATTGCAGGGTTTCACATGGCACTTATATTGTTCTTATGCTTTCCAGAACCATTTCTTTAGACTTTAGCTTTGTTTCTGTATTACGTAAGATGGAATTAAAAAATCAGATAATGGTAATAATGGTATAGGACTTCTGATAACAAAGGATAGTAATAATGTGTTGATCCAAATTTAGTAACCACAAGACCAGTAGATTTAGAGGATTTGTGATGGCTAAAAGTCCTCATCTATTTACTTCAGTTACACCGAAAAGAAAATTCAAAGCTAAAAGATGTGTCAAAATTTTAATTATATTGACCTGGAAGAGGTACTCAGCATATTCAGACATATTCCGTAGCATGGTCCTTTTTGATTCTCTATTTCTCCTGCGCTTCTCATAATAACTGAACCTCTGTGGGGGAGCAAAAGAAAAAAATGTTAGCTCTATTCATCACATGAACTACTTTGCAACAAAAAACAATAATCCCTTGTCAATTGTTGCTACTTTAAACATCGAACATAACAAAGGGATAGAGGATAGTAAAACTTAAAGCATGATTACGTGATGACCAGACAAACTGAAACAAGCAAACTAAAAATAGAATCAAGGAAAACCAATCATTTTAATAAGCACAACAGAAAATTAACCACGCTCGAGCCTCTGCAATCAAGTACAATTAGCTAACAAAGTCAGCAAATTACTACCTCCGTTTCATATTATAAGACTTTCTAGCATTGTCCGCATTCATATATATGTTAATGAATCTAGACATATATGTGTGCCTAGATTCATTAGCATCTATATGAATATGGGCAATGCTAGAAAGTCTTATAACCTGAAACGGAGGGAGTATCATATTACAAAATGTACAAAGTGCAGATCGCAATATCAATGTTCTAAAAGGTAGTGCGATGTTTTGTTTCAGGCATTCCACTTTATAGCGCTCATGCGGTACCTTAGGGGTGGTACTAGGTCAGGACAACCGTTCCTTCAATCTATGCAACCTTGTAGACCATTTTTCTAAGAACACTGAGCAATACACAAAACAGCCTAACAATTTACCCATGGGAACACACACGAGCACTGACAATAAATTCCTCAATTTTCGCATGCATTATCCCCTGCATGTCAGTTATAACGAGAATCAAATTCAAACGCCAATCAGTTCCACATCCAAAACCCATCCCAGCAGATGAAACGCAGGAGCTACACAGCGCGAGCTCACAGATCTCCTCGCGCAAAAATTCATCACGAGCGCACGAGAAATAAAACGACTGAATTCGCAAGGCTTCCCCCACCCCCCCAATACACACAGGCGTTTCATCGAACACCTTACCGACCAACCCAACCCACACCTTCCGGCAGATCAAAACAAAAAAGGGAGCAATCTTTTTTTCCTCAACGGAGACGAGGATCCGCTAACAAACACAACAGAGAGAGGGGAGGGAGGAAAGAAGGCGGATTACGTGGTGCCACTGCGTCTTGCGCTTCCGCTGGAGGGGAGGGGTGGAGTGGAACGAGGCGGCGGCGGCGGCGGAGGCGGCGAGGTGGTGCGGGCCGCGGTGGCCGGAGAGGAGAGCCGATTTGACGTGGGTGATCATCGCGGCGGGCCGGCGGACGGCGTCGGCGGCGGCGGCGGCGGCGGCGGTGGCGGCGAGCGGCGTTTACCTCCTCATGGGGCAAAAGGCCGCCGGCGATGGCGGGGGACCTCGCGAGGTGTTGTGGTGGTGGCGCTCCGTGAGAGGAGGAACGTGCATGCTTGGAATGGTCGCTGGTAACTGGGCCCCCAGCCCAAACGAGCCCTACGGCAGGGTAAGGCCCAGTTTGATTTGCATCACTGAGCAAATTATTACCAAGGATTATCTACTCTATTATAATAAATTAAAAGGTAAATATTAGTTTGGAGTACCCTTTAATGAATGTTTTTTTTACTTTTGAACCGGGTAAATTTAACTTTGTGGTACTTTATACCACATTTAACTATTTTATCCATATGCATCAACTCGTTATATGTTAAGTCAATTGTTTAAGTATAGCTGTGGGAGTTCATCGATGAGTAGGAGCCGATCTACTTGAAATTGTTTATATGCTTGATAAAAGAGTCAGGTAGTCCAAAGTGGAACAAAGGTGAGATTATTCGATTCTAAATAAAAACAATGGTTAAAGGGTTGATCCAAAGTAAAACACTAGTAATAAAAGGTGATCCAAAGTGAAATTTACTTTAAATATTTATCTAAGAGATAATTTGTTTTATTCCACAAAGTATATACACGCACACACCATTACACGCGTAACATCACATTCACGCACCCACAGATATGCCCCTAACACACGCTCGAAGAGATGGAAACCAACGGTATATTCTTGGTCTTATTAAAATTCTGTTGAAAGTTCCATATACATATGTGTGATTAATTTGAACGGAGAGAGTATATAAACTTAATTTTGTAAAAGGATAGACCTTTGTAGCACCATATCTTTAAAAAGGGACGATATATTATGTCATGTTCGTTTCATCTAGCTGCGGCCAGCGGCCGCGGCCGCTAGTTAGCAGACACAATACTCACAAGGCTCAAATGACTCAGAGAGAAGTAACGCAAGGGCACACAAGTTTGCAATAGGAATAATAGCCCTCTCAAGGGGAGAGGTGAGGCTATTTATAGCCACAGCACAAATTCTGTCCGTTAGAGCACAATAAAAGTGATTTTCAGAACTTTCGAAAATCATTTTCGGAACTTTCAAAAATTTCAGATCTGAGAAAAACAGAGTCAATGCAATTTTTCGGAACTTCCGAAAAGTACTTTCAGATATTTCTGAAAATATCCAAAACCCAAAATACCTTATATAGATTTTTGGAACTTCCGAAAAATATTTTCAGAAGCTTCCGAAAATTTCCAGGAGCATATTTGGCTCGCAGACATTTTCGGGAACTTCCGAAAATTTCCTGAAGGTTGAAATTTATTCTGTGTATTTTTGGAATTTCCAAAAATGCTTTTCGGGACATCCGAAAATTTACAGAACACACCAAACAAAGAAATGCTTCCAAGAAAAATAGATTTTGAGCACACGCATCACTCCTTATATGTCTATGCATCATCCCCCTAATAGTATGGCTTTCCTATAACACAATGCAAGGTAAAATATGCAATATACCATTTGATCATTGTCGTATTACGTCCTGATATCGCATTCAATGGGGTATGCATCACATTACAACACGTCGAGGACATATCTACCTTCACATTTACTTGAATAGAAAAGTTAGTCCTCCCTAATCGAATTGTAATTAATCATCAAAATCATTTGGTGCCTATATGCACTTTCAATCTCACCCTTTTTTGTGCTTTATAGCAATACAATTAGATTACAAGAGAGAATGAATATAATAGATGATTTTGGTGCAAAGGTTTAGTGAAAGCTCTCCCTAGAAGTGTGCATTAAAGAAAGTGGAGAGCTCCCCCTAAATCTTTGCATCCACATTTAAGCTCAAGAGATACAAATCATTTCATAGCACATACATCTCATTTCATGACTCATTCATCACATGCACAATATAAGAAGGAAATAAGAACATTTGCACCATATGAATATAACACATAATTGTCATTACATCTCACACATCCATAATTAAACAATAAAGTCTTATAATATGGCAATAACTTAAAATCCACACATAGTCTCATAAAAAAAGCCAACCATGTTCGACTAAGATAGCTAAAGCTAAATAAGATAGATAGGTATTCTCTCCCTTTGGCATCGAAGCACCAAAAAGGAAGGATGACGAGACAAAGACTCAAGCGAAGGGCGCCTGAGGAGGATCCTCTAGAGGAGGATAGCCATAGCCATGGCCAAAACCAAAGAAATCATAGTCTGAAGGTATCCCAGCAAAAGGATCCTCGATCTCTTCCTCCTCAGGCTCATCGGGCTCGGCCTCAAAGCCCGGTGGGGAGGGAGGGACATCCACGTGAAAATGCTCATTGAGTTGTGCCTGTATGTTCTTGATGCGCCGAGCTGTCTTCTTGATCCCATTCCGCATTCTGCGGTTCTTTTTGGCCTCTGCGGCGCAAAGGTCAAAGAGACTTCGCAGAATGCGGAATAAGGGAGACGGCTCACGACGAGCCATAGGAGAGGGACGCTCACGAGTGGGAGGAGGCTGAGTGGAACCCCGAGGAACACGTGCCACCTGAGGGCCGGTCTCCTCTTCCCCTTCCCCGGACCAAGCATGGTCCGAGTCCTCCGCGGAGGATGGAGAAGGAGTGGGAGACCGATCCCGAGCGCGTTCGGACTTGTGAGTGAGGGACTTGCGTGCAGGCATCCTAAGTCAAGAAAAAGAATGACAATAAGAATAAGGAGACTAATGAGATGAAATACAAGCAATTTGAGACAAGAATCATGCGAAACCAAGGTTGGAGGGTTCAGACATGAATTTTCGGAACTTCCGAAAATAATTCCGAAAATTTTCGGAAGTTTCCGAAAATGCCTAGCCGAACACTACAACTCAGATCCCGCACAAATCCTCCAACAAAAAGTTGTGAAATTGAATCTACAAGTCTTATGGCACTAGAGGAACAACTCCACCGAAGGAAATCACAAGATTTAACTCGAGGGGATTTGATTTTGAGATAGATACCTCAAGAACACGAAGAACACGTGAAGAGCTCGGTGAAGAACGACAATCTAGCCTCCAAGAAGTGCCCCAAACTTGCTCCCACGAGGATGGAGTGAAGAGGAGCGCCAGGGAGCCACCAGAGAGGAGTTGGTCGCTGGAGAGGAGCGGAGTCGCAGAGGAATCTGTAGGAAAAGGAGTGAAAAGAGAGAGAAAAAGAACCCACGGATTGGAAGAAGATTTTATACCCCCGAGATTTTTCGGAAGTATCCGAAAATTTTCGGATGTACCGTTTTCAACCTCTAAAAAAAGAAAAACGTTTTGGCATTCTCTGTACTTTGGCTGTCACGCACGCACGCGTGGGCGCGTAGCAAAGCAAAGCAGCGAATCCGGCTTCACTAGTCTTCTTCCCCCCCGCCGCCGCATCGATCCCCCTTCCCCTCGTCTTCCTTCCCTTTCCCCCAATCAGATTGCTTCCAGAAGCCTCCTTCCCCGCGAAGCAACCAACCCCTTCCGGATCCCGACTCCATCCAAACCCCCATCCCCTCCCCTCTCCCCTACGCTCGAAACCCTAGGGAGATCCATCCACATGCCGCCCCGATGAGGTCGCTCCGCCGCGTCCTCCTCCAGCTCGTGCTCCTCGCCGGCGTCGCCTTCCGCGGGGTCCGCTTCGACGACGCCGCCGACGCCGCCGCCGCCGCCCAGGGGTCGTCAGACCTCTTCGAGCTCCCTTCGCCGTCCCCGACTCTCGCGCTCCCCGGCGGCGGGGATGAGGGGGCCTCGACGGAGATCATCGCCGCGCCGTGGCCGGGGCGCCACGGCCTGTTCACGCCGCCGCGGAGCACGTCCCAGCCGGCGAGAGCGGTGGTCCAGCCGGCCGCCGACTTCGGGTGAGCTTCTTGGTCCCCCTCCCTCCGTCTTCTTCCAGTTGCGATGCTGTTCAGGAGGAGGCTATGGAGTCTATAGGAGGTGGATCGATTGGCTTGTGCAGCGGGACAGGGTGGGGGGGGGGGGGGCTTTGCCTCCTGTTCTTATCCTTGGCTTTTGGAGGAGCGAAATGGATTCCCATCCCGCCAAGTGTTAAAGAGGGTTTCTTGTAGTTAGGGAGGCTTGCTATGTTCCTTTGTCACTTTCTTGCTTTCGTGCTGCAATGGAGTGGGGAAATGCGGGGAAAAGAGAGCTCTCTAGCTGCTTAGGTCATGCATGATCCATGGTTGGAACAGCATCTTCTTGCTGCTTTGGTAGTTCTCACTAGCATTAGTAATGACATGACTTTGCTTGATTGCATTGCACTTCAATTTTAGTATTAGTTACGAATTAATTTATGGAAATGAGCAGCTTTTGCACTTACTATTCCTAGTATAAGAGGTGCTACTTATGATTCAAATTGAGCTGTTTGGTTCATTTCTTATGTGTGTACTTTCCATTTTGTCCCGCCATTTGAAATTGCAACTTATTTGCTTGTTTTTATTGTGAACAGCTCCCAACTCCAGTTTTACGACAATGGTACAATTCAACTAGTGGACCTTCTATCAAAATTGCCTCGGTGGCAGTTCTCCACCGGACCCCCTCTTTCGAAGCATATCACTACTTCGAAACCTGATTTGAACTATGTCATATACCTTGATGGGTCAGAAACATCGGACCTTATAGAAGTTCATAATGGCAGTGGTGTGGTATGCTTTGCACAATTGCGTTAGTTCTCAACATCCTGTCTAGTTTTGCTTTGTTTCTCACCTATCACTGGCTTATTCCTGTAGAGACTTCCCTGGAAACTGGAGGAGTTTATTGCTGAGACTCCATATATACGGGATTCTTTTGTTACGATTGGATCAAAGGTTTCAACTACTTTTGTGGTCAATGCTGATAGCGGTGAGATCATTTACAAGCATAGCTTGCCAGTGGCCTTGAACGAGGTAGGTGGCCCCCTGGTTGAGGAAATTCCATCCAAGTTAGATGCTGCTAGAAGTGGTACAAGTGCTAATATCATAGTGGTTGTGAGAACTGATTATTCTATCAGTGCATCGGATCTTGGGGAACATTTGTTCAACTGGACAAGAACTTCCTTCACTGCAAATTACTATGCGAGGTATGGCCACCAAGACATGCTTGCCCAATCGTCCTGTCTGCGAGGAAATATTCCATGCATTAGGACTGAGGGTCCACCAATTAAACTTTATTTACCTGATTCAAGTTCAGATAATGCAATTGTCTTGAGACCTGTGAACGAAGTTTCTGCTGTGGATGCTCTGGAACCACTTCTACCTCCAAAGAAGTTACCACAACCTGCTGGCGAGTCTAATGTGGCCTTGGATAGTGCTCAAAACCAGACTGCTGACATTGCCCTAGGTCATTTTGTGCCTGCTGACACTGAATTGACCAACAGTGTCACTAAATTTTCTTACAGATGGCTATTCCCCACGTTTCTCATGTTGTTGATCATGGCTTGTCTAGTGAAATTGGCCGATGCAAGCAAATATTGCAGGCAATTTGTGATTCGATTTTTGAAGCCATTTATGCGTGATGAGAAATTGATGGACCCAAGAGGCAAATCAGAGGGAACATCAAAAAGAAGGAAGGCGCGGAAGAAAGATGGACTTATCAATAGCACTCAGATCTTTTCAGCATCTGATAAAGAGGGGAATGGAACTGGTGGATCAACTGAGGCACAAAGTAATAAAGCACATGATTCAACAAATGTGGAACTCCCTAATGGCCTCAATGGGCGTCAGATTGGTAAGCTTTGTGTTTACAGTAAAGAAATTGGTAAAGGGAGCAATGGTACAGTTGTCTTTGAAGGCTCCTATGGTGGTCGGGAAGTTGCTGTGAAACGTCTGCTGCGCTCTCACAATGATATAGCCTCGAAAGAGATTGAGAATCTGATTGCATCTGATCAGGATCCTAATATTGTTCGAATGTATGGTTTTGAGCAGGACAATGATTTTGTTTATATCTCCCTTGAGAGGTGTCGCTGCAGCTTGGCTGATCTAATCCAACTGCACTCGGTACCACCATTTTCAAATACTAAGGGAACAGACATTGAACTTTGGAGGCAGGATGGACTTCCTTCGGCACAACTTCTAAAGCTGATGAGGTATGTGACAACTGGTCACTGGTGCCCTTTCATGTTGCACACCATGTTTATCAGTATATGCATGTGTTGTTTACTTTGAGATTAATTGACTAAGGTCACGCTTATGCATAGCTTAACTTGATGCCCTTTTGCTAAGAACACTTTGCCAACAACCAACATCCACCATTTGCTATTACAAAGTTCCTTAATGGCTGATATTATTTGCCTGCCTATTCTTGGTATTGTTGCTAGCGTGTCCACCAGACCACCACTGATGTTGCCCTTGTGAATTTTCATGTGCAGAGATGTTGTTGCTGGTATTGTGCATTTGCATAGTTTGGGAATTATACATCGTGATTTGAAGCCTCAGAATGTTTTGATAAGCAAGGAAGGACCTCTCAGAGCAAAACTTTCAGATATGGGTATCAGTAAGCGTTTGCAGGAGGATATGACTTCTGTTAGTCATCATGGCACTGGTAAGGTTCAAAGTTGCTTGCGAATATGCAATATGAGAAATTACTTTCTGTATCTTTTTTATGGTCAAGGTCAACTTTCTTAAGTGCATTTTTTAGTCATTGCGATGCTCTCTCTCTCTCTCTCTAACTAGCCATTTCATCCCTGTCAACTTACTGCAGGATTTGGAAGCTCTGGTTGGCAAGCACCTGAACAGCTTCGTCATGGTCGTCAGACTCGAGCCATAGATTTATTTAGTTTGGGCTGCCTTATATTCTATTGCATTACTAAAGGCAAGCATCCGTTTGGTGAGTACTATGAACGGGACATGAAAATCATAAACAATCAATTTGATCTCTTCATAGTGGATCACATACCAGAAGCAGTGCATCTTATTTCTCAACTGTTAGATCCAGATCCAGAGAAGAGGTAAGAATAATTTGGTATTTTGACATCGTTAATGCCCTGAACATTTAAAAAGGCTTCCTGATTTTCTGAATGCATTTTTTTATTAATGTTAACAGACCAACGGCCGTGTATGTGATGCATCATCCTTTCTTTTGGAGCCCTGAGTTGTGCCTTTCATTTCTACGAGATACCAGTGACAGAATTGAGAAAACCAGTGAAACTGATCTCATAGATGCTTTGGAAGGCATAAATGTTGAAGCATTTGGTAAAAATTGGGGAGAGAAATTAGATGCTGCCCTGCTTGCAGACATGGGACGTTATAGAAAATATAGTTTTGAGTCCACTCGTGACCTTCTAAGATTGATCAGAAACAAATCAGGACATTACAGAGAATTTTCAGATGATCTCAAGGTCTGTTGCTGCATTTCTTGTTTTGTTTGCTTTGTTTTAGTTTTCCTGCATACAGCTAAACTATGGGTCAAACAAGAGGTGGTGCTGTAGTATGCATGAATGCTGTTGTGTGTTCAATGGATGTTCATATTAGTTGCTGTGCATGAATGTAGTATATAGGAAAAGTAGTTAGTTGCAGTCATGAATGTTATATTAGTTGCTTCTGTATTATCTTAGATAGTTTCTTAGTTTACTTCTTTTATGTAAGGTTCAACTAAACTATGTAGTGTGCTAGTTTGTGATGATTTTGATTCTACAGTCTTATCTTCCTCACAAGGGTGGGCACTACTGCTGACCTCCTCCTAGGAGTTAGGATATATCTCTGCCTTTTCGGTTTTCTGGAGAATATTAAAAGTTTGAGATACTATTTTATACATTTTCAGTTTTCTGAAGAATATTATCAAGTTTGAGATACTACTTACAGATTGTGACCATGCAATCATCATCCCAGACGCTAACATATTCATGTTAATAAAATTCCAGGAGCTACTTGGGTCGCTGCCGGAGGGATTTGTTCAGTATTTCTCAAGCCGATTCCCAAAGCTGCTAATTAAAGTCTACGAGGTCATGTCCGAGCATTGCAAGGACGAAGAAGCTTTCAGCAAATATTTCCTTGGAAGCTCGGCGTAGCTGTAACCTGCAGGAGGGGTGAAGGCCCTGCCCTGCCTAGTGTGTACACTAACACTCTTCTAGCAAAAATGTATGTACATGTGATTTGTACCATATATCATAGGGTAAAGAAAGTTCAGCCTGTACATTGTATTCCACAGAATTGTGTATTACTTATAGTAAATCAAATCTTTTACCTGACTATATGGACTGCATTATCAAGGTTTTTTTTTTTTTCAATTTTGTTTCGTCTTGTGATTGTGTGCTGTTAGTCCCCTTGAGTTGTTCCAGAAGATGAATTCATCCTATTCATGTACGGAGTACATTTGCAAGATTTGATTCCGTTGTTAGATTCGTTTAGACAGGTGAGTTCGGCTTGTTAAAAATCATGAGTTGGTCTATGTCAGATTGTCAGCATGCAACATCTCTAGAACTGGTGTAATTAGAACAACTGGTGTCATATCTTTTTGTTTTCTCGTTCTCCTTCCGTATGTTCCATCATGTGCGGGTAACCATAGTATCTGTCACGTCCTGATAAATTCATCCTGAAATAAAAATCATTCCCTAAAAGGAATAATAGAATTAATTAAAATTCGAAAAGAAATTGGCAAACATTAAAATGCGTACAAGAAAATTTTGAATGTGGTCCAGAGAATTTTTGTTAAATTCTCTTTGGTCTAAAAGGAGCCCTCAAATTTTACTTGAATTTTCAGAGCACCGGAAATAATTATTAAGCAACAACAACCTTGATCAATGTTTATTAAAAAGAAAAAGCTAAAAATAAATCCTCCTTCCTCCTTTGGGCCAAGCCCAGCCCAAAGTCTCCCTCTCCTCCCTCTCTTTCCTTCCTCCTCCCGGCCCACCTCTTCCCTCCCCCTCCCAGCCCAGCTCCCTCCCCTCCCCTCTCTCTCCCGGGCCTGCCTCTCCCTCCTCTCCTCCTAGGCCGCCTCCGGGCCCAAGCCGAGCGGTGCCCTCCCGCCCGTGCCGCGCATGTGCGTGCGCTGACCGCGCGCCTGGCCGCGTGGGTCCCACACGCCGGGTCGTCGTCCTCCTCCCGCCCAGCCTCCTTCCTCTCTCTCTCTCTCCCGTGCAAACCCTAGCGCCAAACCTCCCCAAAATCCAAGCGATTCAAACCGGGGTTTCCAAAATTGATTAGGGGTTTTAATCCCCATTGATTCCTCTCTCTTTCCCCCATATTTTCCCCTTGATTCATGGCCCCAATCGTCGGGAACGCCCGCGCCAACCCCGGGCACCTTCCATGGCCGCCGGCCACGAATTCCGCCGCCGTTCCCCGTCTCTCCCGTGGCCGGCTCCCTCCCCTCTCCTATAAAACGGAATCTCCTCGCTCCGTTCTATCGTTTTAGCCCCTTCTCGAGCTCCCCCACGGCCACACCACCTCTCCCCGCCTTCCCTTCTCTCTCTCCGGCGCCGGCCGATCTCCAGCCGCCCCTGCCGCCGCGTCGGCACGCCGGCCGGCCGTGCCGTCACCTCTCCCGGCGTCGCAGCTGCCTCCTCTTCCCCGGCTTCGCCCCCGTTTCGCGGGGAAATCATCGGAGACACGTCCTCGCCGGCAAAACAGTGGCGTTGCCGCCACTGTACCTCCTTCAGTCGCCTCGGTCGCCGCGCCAGAGCGTCGGCCGACGTCGCCGTCTCCTTCGTCGACGTCGCAGCATCGTCCTCTCCTCCGGCTGCTCCTCTGTTTCGCTAGAACACCGCCGTGCCACGCCGGCCTCTCCATCCGCCTCGCCGGAATTTCCCCGGTCGGCCCTTCCTCCACCCGTGCGCCGTCGGCCGCGCCACCACCACCTCCGGCATCGCAGCAGCAAGGTCGCCCTCGGCCTCGCCTCCCCTTCGACCGAACCCCGCCGGTGTTCGTCGTCGTCGTCATCGTTCCTCCTCGCCGGCTCGTCGTCTCGCGGCGCCGCCTCCGTCGTCGGATTCGCAGCGGCGTGTTCCACACCGTCCTCGTCTCCGTGCAGCCGCTGCCGGCTGCCCTCGTTGCCTCCTCGCCGGTCCCGGTCGTCGTCCTCATCGTCGTGGCGTTCGTCCCTCCGTCAAGCCGTTCTCGTCCGTCGTCCGCGTCCGTCAAGTGTGCCGCTGCAGCCCCGTCGTCGTCTTCGTCCTCGCCTCCGCGTCGCCAAGCGTTGCGTCGGCCGCGTCTCGCCTTCGTCCAAGGATCGCCGCTGAAGTCGTCCCCTCGCCTTTCGTCTCCATCGTTCCTGGCCGTCTCCGCCGCGCCCGTTCGTCGTTGTCGTTCCCTCGCCTCGTCGCGTGGTGGTAAGGATCTCTCCTTCGCTGCCCCGTCCTCGTCCTTTCGGTGTCGCCCGTGCCCGTTGTGCGGTTGTCGACCCCGGTACTCGTGTACCAGTGTCGGTAGTCGTTCGCTTGTGCGTGTGGTGACCGTGTTAGTGTGCCCGCTCGGTAGCCGCGTGGTTTCCACGTGTGCAGGCCGTGTGGTGTCTAGTGGAGTCCGTTTGTCGGCCACTCGCCTCGGTTGAGACACGGGGTCCGCTTCCGTCGACCTGTGGACCGTCTCTGTGTACCCGGTCTGCCGTGGTCCCTTAGGTTGACATGTGGGGTCCGCATGTCAACAGCGCAGCCTTCCTGTCTTTTCCAGGCTAGCGCTTACACATGTTTTATAATTGCAAAACCTAATCACAATAATTCATAAATCTCCATGTAACAGCATTAAACTTCAGATGATCATATCTTGGTCATACGAACTCTGAATCGACCCGTTCAAGTCTCCTAATGTTTGTTATAACCTAAAGAACCATGTGCTTTCATTTTTATGTATTGTTATTGCTTCTTTATAGGCTTGTAGCTTTGCTTGTGTGCTTCGCGTAGCTTCTGTCGTTCCGGAGGTTCCCGAAGCGTGGTTCGTGGTCGTCGCCGAAGGTTCGGAAGGCCGTTCTCTCTGAGCAAGGCAAGTCACATCATCCTTGAGCATATTGAATCCCAGTTTGTAAAATTATTTTGATTTAAATTAATGCATTATCGCTTTATTTAAATTCCCGCGTTATCACTGTTTTATTTAGCCATGCCTATTTATCTTTGTTATGAACTTATCATTGTTGTTATTGTTATTATTACCTTGTTCACCCTAGGATAAACAAAACCCCAACTAGTGAGTACTCTATTTATGGTTCCACTAGTACGAACTTAGGTAGATGCTTCGCTGGTTAATTAGGCAACATTAGGTGGTTTTATAACTTTAGACTTTGGGAATTCTCATATCATTTGGACACTATGGAATGGTTGGCTTATGTTGGAATTGGACACACACCTCCCCCTCTATTCAAAACCCCCAAAATGGTTTTAGGCTGGGCTCGAGGTGCGTGGTTGGGTTTTGTTAGTCGTACCTCGGGTTCTATAAGGATTAAGCTCGGGCCTCTGTTGCAAAGCACTACTGTACTTGCACATGTCTAGTGGGTAAGGCTTAGTTTGTGGCTCAGTCTAGTTATAAACAAAGGTACACGGATGGAGATGGACGAAGTCGGGGGTCGATGGACATCTCTAGGACAAATGAAGGCTACACGAGCTGTGGCCCGGTAGTCGAGATGTCATGGCACAGGGCTGGTGTCCTGCTGCTAGGGACTCAATCCTGCCTGCCTGTCCCGGAGGTTCCGGCCGTAGGCGGGGCTGGGTCGATACTCTTGTTTATGGCTAGGATGGGTTGGAACTATGTCACGTCTTCCGTCCGTATGCCGTGGTGGTATGTGGCACGTGGTTACACGTGAGGAAGATGTGTCTTGTGGGTAAAGATGTACACCTCTGATCAGAGTAAATCTATTCGAATAGCCGCGCCCTCGGTTATGGGCAAGCCTAGCAATGTACCCAATTTAGTGTTTTAATTCTTAAAACCTGCTTAACAACTAAAATGTGGAATGGTTGGCCTGGGTTGGCTTGGGACGAGCTGGGACCCAGGGTCGGGTTGCCAGTTCGGTCTGAATCATCGTAGGCCTTGGGTTAAGGCAGGTTCGTCAGGGTTCACGGCTTTGATTAATAACACTATGTAGCTCTAGGATCGTCTTTACAAAGTAGCTTTGGGCAACTAAGTGACTTTTAAATGCTGTTTACTGCAAAACTTAACCCCTATATTATTACCCCTTGTACCTCCTTGCATTAATCATGTATCTGCCAGTGTGGCTTGCTGAGTACTGTGGTTGTACTCATTCTTGCTTAATCTTTCCCCCCTTCAATAAGAGAAGCTTTGGAGAAGAAGTATTAGGTGGAGTCCTGGCTTATACCCCAGTTGAGCGCTGTCACACCCCGAAGTTCTCCTCCCAAGCCTAAAATTTAATTTATAAGAGACCCTAAGAAAATACCGGTGCAAAGCAAGAGTAAACCCTTTTAAATCAATGCAAATAATAATCGGAGTGGGCATGTGGAATTTTTCTTGAGTTCTACATGTCGAAATTCACTAACAGGATTTTTAGTGGAATTTTCAGAGCGCTCGAAATAATTTTACCCAATTAAAATTGAGCAAGCAATATTTTAATTCCAGGGAAAATTCTTTTCTCCTTTTTCTTTTTCTTTTTCCCTTCCTTTTCCGAATGGGCCGCTGGCCCATTCTCTCCTTTCCTCCCCCTCCTCCCTGCTGGGCCGGCCACAGGCCGAGGCCCAGCTAGGCCGCCCCGCCGCCCTCCTCTCCCAGGGTCTCCGACAAGTGGGGCCCACCTGTCGGGTCCTTCCCCAACCTCCCGTCGCTCCCGCCGCGCCGCCGCGCCCGCAACCGCAGCCGCGCCCACGTCTCCGCCTCCTCCGGGCCACGTCGACCACGCCCGCGCGTGCGCCGCGTTCCCCGCGCCCACTCCCCTCTCTCTCTCGCTCGCGCCCGCGCCCGAGATGGCCGGGATTCGATTTTCGAATCCCGTCTCTCTCTCCTCCCCCACTTCCCCCACGTTGGCCGGCGAAATCCTGCCTCTCCCGGCCACGTCCGGCCCCCTCTCTCCCTATTTAAGCTCTGCCATCGCCCCTTCTCGCTTTTTCCCCATTTCGCCGAACTCTCCCGAGCTCCCCATCGCTCCCGCGCCGTGCAACCACCCGCCGCCGCCGTTTCCGCTACTCCGGCCGCCGCTAGCCGCCGCTAGGCTCGCCGCCGCACCGCGCCGTCGCCGCCGTCGGGTTTGCGTGGCCGAGATCCACCCCGTCCAACCCTCCTTCGTCGAGGTCCGCCGCCGGAGCGCCATTCCCATCGTGCGACGGTGAGGGTTGCCATGTCCGCCGCCTTTGGC